TGTTTCGATTTATTAGGCTCTATTTGGATATCATAGTATTTTACTTGTTTTCATAGTATTTTTGTCAAAAACAAAACACCATACATTTAAAAATGAGAATCATAAACTCTTGGATCAATTTTTACGTGCTTTTGCCTAGTCAATTTGGTATGGATCCCTAACTTTCTGGCTTTCAATAAGAAAATCAACAGATCTGGTTTAATTAACATGGTTGTTCAGATATATGCAGAACAAGAAGAGTGGTAATATACAACAGACTGGAAAGGAAAATCTCTAAGATAACTGTCATCAATATGACTGCTTGACACCCTCCGCAATGACAAAGAAATTACCTATATTCAATATTGATAGGCCACCTTCGTAGGTTCGGGAGCTTGAATGGAGCCCTCTATAACCCAAGACGGCGCCTCCCATAGCAGTGAAGTTTGAAGGGTTGGTCTGAAAATAAGATTTAAGGGCAAGCAAGCAACCCCTACAAGAAGTAATGCCTTCAGAAAAACACTCACAGTGACCTGTATATCACAGAAAAATTAAATTGCTGATACAATATCACAAGCAAAAAGATCATGCCGCTTTGTCACATGCTGTCTTAAGATGATATCAAGCACTTACAGCGATTCCTAAATGTTTTCAGTAAAATGACCTTTTAAAGCCATTGCAATTGACTGCATTGGAGACACTTTAGCAAAATTCAGCTCAACTTTAAAGGACTTTGTCTGGTAGGGACGCCTCAACTGCTTACGGTGAATCTGGCCGGGCTGTCATTTCCGCCTGGGCTTCCACTGCCAGAAGTTCTACAGAAAAAAGGAAAGCAGAGAAGAAACAGAATATAAGCACATAGAATAGTAGTGATTAAGTACAGAAACTATGAACGCCACAAAAAAGCAATAAAGCACCTATTCTGTGATGCATTACAAAGAAACTCATTTCCCCATCATATGCAAAGTCCTTGTTACCAAGCTCACTGTCAAAGGTTTGGTGTAGTTTGTCGATAACTGTTGTGTGAACCCCCTCACCATCCACAGGCCGATCATCTTCATACTTCAGTTAAACCTGCATATATGAACAGGATAAGGTAGTTAAATATCATTTCAATTAAGTAGAAAATGAAAGGAGAGTCAAGTTTGTACAGGAAAAATAGAATTGCAAAGCACAGGGTATACACTGCAGTGATAGAAGTGCTCTTCCCGATGTTGACTCAACTCAGTTTTCCAAGGCCGCACATATTTTGCATGATGATGCATCATGGAGAACCATGTTTTTAGCCATGCCTAGTGAGAGAAAGAAGGATTGGGTTTTAAATCTACCTTGATGTTGTTTATGTTTGTTTCGAAGAAATTTGTATTTGTTTATGTTTGTGTTTGTTTCTATTAGGCCAAGGACTTTGTGTGTGTTTCTATATGTTTGATTCTAGTAGGTCGAGGACTTTTGTGTGTGTTTAAATTATGCTTGTGTTCTAGTAGATTGAAGACTTTTGGGTGTATTTGTGTTAGTTTTTGAACCTATATATGTGTATTTTCATAACGTTGTTGGTATTATACTTGTTTATGTTGTTGACATGTATTTCATGCCTTATGTAAATTTATTCATGCCTTATGTTGTTGACATGTGTATTTGTGTTAAATTTTATTATATTTGTTTATGTTGTTCACATGTGTATTTGTGTTAAATTTTATTATACTTTGTAGGTATGGATGGCAATACAAATACAGATGATTATCATCTATCATCACAATCTGATTCAGACTCTGATTCAGATGAGGAGCAATTTCAAGTGTTATTCATATTCATGCATTTATGGAGTTTAATGGATCTTTTATGGAGCAGCCTCGACCACAAAGGATTTCAAAATTAAGTGGGCATGATTGGGTGATTGAGGTTCTAGGTGGTCACCCGGGTACTTGTTTTGACCTCTTCCGAATGAAAAAAGAAGCATTTATTAACCTTTGTGAAGAGTTAAGGAGAATTTGAAAATTAAAACATTCTAGAAATGTGACGATTCAAGAACAAGTAGCAATCTTTTTATTTGTGCTTTCTCATAATGAACGCCAACGTATGGCCGCAAATCGTTTTCAACACTCACTAGAGACCATCTCTACATATTTTAAGAAGGTCCTTTATGCAGTTTGCACTCTAACCAAATATGTGATCGTTCCTCCATCATACGATGCAACTCCACAACTCCACCAGAGATATCATATACCACAAAGTATTATCCTTATTTCAAGGTATGTATATATTTCTTCCTACATTAATTATGTGAATTTTTTTACTATCGTTCTAATAGTAATATATTACATGACAGAATTGTGTAGGGGCTATAGATGGAACACATGTTTCAGCTTGTGTGCCGCAAGATAGTCAAGTTCCATATCGTGGAAAGAAAATTGTGCCAACAATGAATATGATGTGTGCTTGCTCTTTTGATATGCGGTTCACATTTGTTATGAGTGGATGGGAATGAAGTGCAAATGATTCAAGAATTTTCTTAGAGTGCATTAGCAATCCCACAAACAAATTCCCTATGCCCCCTGCAAGAAAGTATTATTTGGTTGACTCTGGATATACCAATATGCCGGGTTTTCTTTCATTGTACCGTGGAGAGCGATATCATTTGAATGATTATCGAGGGCAGAATCTTCCACCGCAAGGTACTAGAGAACTATTTAATTACTTGCATTCGTCATTAAGGAATGTTATAGAACGATGCTTTGGGGTATTAAAAAAAAGATTTCCAGTTTTAAGAGATATGCCTTCATATAGTTTGAGAAAACAAATATATATAGCATTAGCATTAGCATGTTGCGTTATTCACAACGTGATTCGAATGCATGATTCTGGAGATCCATTATTTGTCGATAGCATTAGCATGTTGCGTTATTCACAACGTGATTCGAATGCATGATTCTGGAGATCCATTATTTGTCGAGTTTGAAAATGAAGATGTGGAGCTTGAAGATTCGAATGCATGATTCTGGAGATCCATTATTTGTCGAGTTTGAAAATGAAGATGTGGAGCTTGAAGAATATGATATGTGACTGTACAAGAACAACAAACCATACCAGTCAATGTCGGCCCAGAGCACCTTCGTGAGATATCAAGGTTTCGAGATCGTTTGGCCCAAAGGATGTGGAACGATCGTGGTGGGTAATATCGGGATGTGTTTTGAAATTAATGTATATTATATTGTAATGTCACTAAAATACATTTTGAGCCTAATGTATATATATTATCAATGTCATTAGAACATGTTGAACATTTATTCATCGTTGTTTCATGATGGTGGTGACGTATTAGAATTTTTTTTAAATTTTTTTTGAATTATAGGCATTGAAAAAAGCTCCCGAGAGGCGGCGGCCGGTGACGACTGACGGCCAACAAGTGGTTGGTGGTGGGGAGCAGCAACGGGCGAGAGTAAGGTTTAATTGGTTGGGTGTGTATCATATGCTAACTTTTAAAATGGTGTTTTGAAAACACTTTTGAAAAATAAACACGATGACATGGTGTTTTTTTTTAAAAACACAACCAAAAAAACACTTTGGTTACCAAACATACTCATAGCGAATAGCTGCAGGACCATAATAGTTTATACATAAGCAAACCTGACCATAACAGTTTACACATAAGCAAACCTGCCAGGACCTTATCAGTTATCACCCCTAACAAAGTGTTCTGCAAGATCAAGAGGGTTGTTTATCAGCAGTAGGCAAGTATGGTTCAAAAGTGAGTAGAAAACAAAACAACCATGCAAAATGAGACTTCATAATAAAATCACTCAACACAGAAAGATATTATGAAAGCCCTTACCTGCCTCTTTCTCTCGTCCAGTTTAACACTCAGCCAAAATAATTTCAATTATATCCAAGACTTTAGTCTGTCGAGAAAAATTGAGAATCTGAAAAGACCCAAGTGCCATTATGATTTGTTGACTTTAAATGAATGCATGAGATAAAACAAATTCATACTTTGTGCTTCTGCACAAGTATAAAGGTTACAAATCTGTCCAGCACTGAAATTCGCCACACAGTTCTACAAATTGTTTTGTAGGTAGACAAAAATATGTAGAAATAGCAAGAACTGAAGCTCGACAGAGGCCCCCCAACTGTAGTAAGACTTAACGAAACCAAGGAGCTTCAAAAGTAACACTGTTCTACCAATTTGTTGTTGTTGGATTGTAGTCAAGCTAGTCTACTCGCCAAAACCCCCTTACAAAAATGAAAATAGCAGGAGCTTCGAAATAAGAACCACGAAATTCAAATTAACGCAAAACTGATAAAAGGTTTCATCAACACTATTAGATAAAGTAATGTCAATATAATATTGCTTAAAATTTCGTTCCGTAACAAGATAACAACACATCTAATTTCATTTCACAATAAGAAACAAAGAAAAATAACAATATGAGGAACCAAACCAACATTCAAATAATATCATTAACATAAATATATCAGTTTAATAAAATTTCTAACCTACAGGCATATTAGTAAACAAATAAACCAACCAAAACTATTCAATTTCATTCCACAATCCCAAACACATCAATATCCCAACATAAAGACTAAATGTAAACAACATTTAAAGAAGATCATTAAGATACAATCAAATCCCTAAGCCTTCCCGCCTCTAATCCTCCTTGCAAGCTGAATATCCTTCAGCATACATATCAGGGGCGGATCCATGATTTATGGAAAGCAGTATCACTGCATAATTAACATTTTTAATAAAAAAAACTGTATCTGTCCTTGATGAGTTTACATATTATGAAAAAAGCACATAATCTTATCGTTAGTAACATTATCAAATAAATATTGCTAGCCAGTGATTGACTCAATCATCGGGATCCTTATTTATTCAATCATATACTTTAGCAGAAGTTGTTTATTTTACCCTAGCTTATTCATTGTATTCTTAATATCTTATTATAATTCCTTTCCATCTGTAGTTTCAAATTTGTTAATGTAATAGAACTTAAAATCTTTTATAGTTGATTCCTACTTATTGAATGCACTTATTATACATTGTTACAGTATTATTTTTGCATTTTTGTATCTTTTTGATCTAATGTGATTTCAGCACCTAGTAACCTAGCCCATTCATTTCCTTTTGGATTTAGCTACAGTTACTATCATACTACAATTTTGGATGATACATGATGTCGAAGAGTTTGAGTTGTTCTCTTTTTCTGATAAGCTTGCATGCTGACTTTCATACATTTGTTGACTTTTCATACATCTGGTGTCACATAACACCACTTTCCTTACGGTCATAGGGTGAATCCGCACCTGGGCATAATCATAACCCTTTTCACATGAATTGCACAAAGATTCATAATCTCAAAGGCAGTTACTGTAAAACAAGAATTATTATTTATTGCCAAACCTACAATCATGAAAGAAACAGAAAAGTTAAAATGCATGCTCAGAAGATAAAGCCCTCTGTGAAGATCAAACTAATTGAAGCGGCAGAAATCTTGAAGATCTTACTTATTCAGGTCGTTTCAAGCCTTCAGTTATTTGACACAAAAACATTTAAGCATATGATTTGCCTGTTAATATACATGACAAAGAATTATGCATATCACAAGCTAAAGAGAAGAAGTAAATGACAAATAAATAACCACTGCATCAATCTTCTTTCACATTCTATTTCTGAACAAGTCATATATAGGAAAAATGAGAATCATTAACTCTTGGATCAATTTTTACGTGCTTTTGCCTAGTCAATTTGGTATGGATCCCTAACTTTCTGGCTTTCAATAAGAAAATCAACGACAGATCCTGGTTTAATTAACATGGTTGTTCAGATATATGCAGAACAAGAGGAGCGGTATTATACAACAGACTGGGGAAAAAATCTCTAAGGTAGCCAACTGTCATCAATATGACTGCTTGACACCCTCCGCAATGACAAAGAAATTACCTATATTCAATATTGATAGGCCACCTTCGTAGGTTCAGGAGCTTGAGTGAAGCCCTCTATAACCCAAGACAGCCCCTCCCATAGCAGTGAAGTTTGAAGGGTTGGTCTGAAAAAAGATTGAAGGGCAAGCAAGCAACCCCTACAAGAAATAATGCCTTCAGAAAAACACTCACAGTGATCACAGAAAAATTAAATTGCGGATACAATATCACAAGCAAAAAGATCATGCCGCTTTGTCACATGCTGTCTTAAGATGATATCAAGCACTTACAGCGATTCCAGAGAGTTTTTAGTAAAATGACCTTTTAAAGCCATTGCAATTGACCGCATTGGAGACACTTTAGCAAAATTCAGCTCAACTTTCAAGGACTGTCTGGTAGGGACGCCTCAACTGCTTACGGTGAATCTTGGCCGGGCTGTCATTTCCGCCTGGGCTTCCACAGCCAGAAGTTCTACGGAAAAAAGGAAAGCAGAGAAGAAACACAATATAAGCACATAGAATAGTAGTAATTAAGTACAGAAACTATGAATGCCACAAAAAAGCAATAAAGCACCTATTCTGTGATGCATTACAAAAACAAACTCTTTTGCCCCGTCATATGCAAAATCCTTGTTACCAAGCTCACTGTCAAAGGTTTGGTGTAGTTTGTCGATAACTGTTGTGTGAACCCCCTCACCATCCACAGGCCGATCATCTTCATACTTCAGTTAAACCTGCATATATGAACAGGATAAGGTAGTCAAATATCATTTCAATTAAGTAGAAAAAGAAAGGAGAGTCAAGTTTGTACAGGAAAAATAGAAGTGCAAAGCACAGGGCATACACTGTAGTGATAGAAGTACTCAACATTCCGAATGAAACTTCCAAATGATTATTAGAAGTGGTATAGGCTGGCCTCGTTTAGCCAAGACGCGCTCATCAACATTCCGAATGAAACTTTCAAATGATTATTAGAAGTGGTATGGCCTGGCCTCGTTTAACCAAGACGCGCCTGGACATTGGAATACTCCTTGGATTTGATAGTTTTTTAGGCAGCAAGCCCTCAGTTTGCTCTTCCTTTGGGGAATCATTTTCCAATTGACGGCTTACAAATAAGAAAGGCCTTGAAAAATACCAAGTACATTAGAACTTTATGGCTACTGATGCCTAAAACGAGTATAGAAGAGAGCAAATAAATGTCGTGAAAAGATGCTTAGTTAGTAGTTGAAGGTAGTCCAAGGGCAGCCCATATTTCAAAGAGCATTAATCAAAATATATGGCATGAAGATCAACAGCATAAATATAAACAGTTTACACATGGTATATTATGTGAATGTCCAAGTCAGCAAACCAATATTAAAGACTAATCTATTAGAAACATGAAGTCATTAAGATCTGAAATTTGAAAATTCAAAAGGCTTTCAAGACCATTATCTTAGATATTTATATTTAATTTCTAAATTTTAGGGGGTTTCTTGAAATTTATACTGACATGCATAATATCCCTGTAAGAAAAAAGATCATAGGACTTCAAATTAGAGTATCCTCCTTGCTGCTGTCATAAAGGTTGATAAGCTTGCATAAATTTTTAAAGAAACAACTGTGAGAAGATGAGAAATAGGGTAAAAACCAGCAAAGCAGCCAAGGTAATAGTGGTGTATAAGAACATGACTATTCTATACGTAGTGTACAATTGTGGATGATTCTTTTGCGTTGAAATATTTCTATGATTCTAACTAATCTGTATGGTTAATTAGGCCCATGAAGTAAATTTAATACAACAATTAGATTGTGGTGCGTTGCCGAGAGCTTGAAATCTGAAACATAACGCAACAATGATGAGAGATACAAACAACTTTGCGAGCGTGAGACTTACTAGTTGATATTGCTTCATCCTTGCTTCAAATCTGGACGTCCTGCACTGCGGGCCAGCCTCCTTTCACTGTCGCCCATTCCTCCCTTTGCAGCATAGAAAACAAGGAATCAAGACAAAATAATTACAAGTTGTTTAAGTAGCGCTGCGGTGATGTCATCAAATTTCCCGAGCAGAAAATCAGCTTAGGTCTAGGTTTATATGAGCGGCTCATCCAACTTGACCTCGACCTTTCTTCTCTCCAGCATCGTAATCGTCTCTGAGACGAGCGAGGCATCACCATTCTTAGCTTCCTGCACAAGAGAAAGAGTTTTAGCGATCGCCTAAAAAAACACTATTCAACATGAAAATATCAAAAAATAAAGTAGAAGGAAGAAAATGTAAATCCTAATTTAAGGGAATATGAAAAGGCGGTAATGGATGAACCCTAAAACCGTTAAAAATAGAACTTCGAACAGAAATGTACAGCATTTTCTTCTAAAGGAGCAATCTTTACAAATTTGAAAATTATTTCCAAAGAAAATGAAAAGCATAAACGAAAAGTTCCCAAAAATATAAGAAAACAGGAAACTTCTACCGTTATTTTTCTACCCTAAGTTCTTCGTTTGCCGAAAGAATCCTTATTTGGAAAGAAAACAAAAACCCTAGAAAGCAATTTACCTCAAAATCCAGCGATCAGCTCAAATCTCAGGCTGGATGTTGAAATTGCTCGATCAAAGACCTGAATACGAACAGGAGAGAAGTGCGAACCAGAACCAAACCCTAATTCGTAGCCTCCACAATTTCGAAAAGCACAATAAGATCCATGTTAGAGCTCTGATCATCTTCTGGCAATCAAGAGGAAACACAAAAGCAGAATCAAGCAAAAACATGGAATTAAGATAAGCAGTTAAGGAGATCGACGAACAAATTAATGGAAAGTAATACCTAAACTTTTTGGCACGCAGTCGCAAATCTCGAACCCTAAACCTAGAGATGCCTCGAAATGAAATTGAGTTTCCTTTTTATTCTGAAATGAGAGTAAGCGGGAGACTACTACATCACATGCTTTAATTATAGAAGATGGCTTCTAGCGTCGGGACGACGCGACGCGGAGAAAAGAGTACGCGTAAAAGATATTTTGGAAAATATAATATTTGGGACCAAAGCTGCCTAAGCTTTTTTGGGCCGGATAACTATGCTTGGGGTGTATAATGAGGTTTGTCTTCAAAATGTTTCGATTTATTAGGCTCTATTTGGATATCATACTATTTTACTTGTTTTCATAGTATTTTTGTCAAAAACAAAACACCATATATTTAAAAACTATAGTGTTTTTTGAATTAAATCATCCTCAAACCAAAAACATAATTAGTGTTTTGGTTTTGAGTTTGAGTAGGTGTTAATGTAATATCTAACAAAATATATTAAATATAATTAATATATACTTATTATCAACATACTTATATACTATATTATACTATATTATAGTTAATCTAATATATTAGTAATATTTATTAAATAATATAAATATATAATCAATAAAATATCTTATATAATAATATAATAACATATTAAATACTAGTACTTAATATGTTGATAATATATTTTATAAGAATAAATAATAATAATATATAAATAAACTAATAAAAATAATAAAAATTATTAATGATAAATAATAATATAATAATATACAAACAATATAATAATCAATATTGTAATAAATTAATAATTATAAAATATTGTATAATAGTAACCTATTTAACAATAAAAAATATAATATAATAATAATAACATTATAATAATATATTGTATCATAAATATAATATAATATATAAAATATTAATATATTATACACTAAATAATTCAATATATTATAAAGTAAAATAATTTTTAATACTAAAATAATTTATTGCTAACAAATGTTAATTTAAAAAAATATATTCATAATATAATAATATTGATTAATATCATAAATTATTAAATTATTATTAATAAACTCTAACATATTAGAAACTATAATATATTATATAATATATTAAAATATTTGTAATATATGAATTTATTAATAATATAATAGTAATAACATAATATTAACATTATAAATAATATTATATTTTATATAATAATATTATATTAATAATAAATATATATAATTTTATAAATATTATATAATATATAACAACAATAATTACTAAAATATTATTAATTAATTCTAATATATTAGAAACTATAATATATTATATAACACCAAAATATTTATAATATATGATTTATTAAAAATATTGTAGTAATAACATAATATTCACATTACTAATAATATTATATTATATTAATATGAGTATAATTTTATATTAATAATAGTATAATTTATATTAATAATAAAATAATGATAATTTAAAAATATTATATAATATATAACAATAACAAATTATATACAAAAAATAATTAAATATATAATTATTTGAAAATAATATGTAATAAGAATAAAATAATATAACTCATTAAAGTACAATATAATATTATAACACATTATACAGTATTATATTGTATTATATTTAATACTTATAATACTATAGTAATGTAAACTAAACATTATAACATTTTATTTATAATATATTTTATTATAATTAATGTATAATATATTAATAATATGTTCAATACTAATGTTATAATTGATCAAACTAATGTTGAACAAAAACACTCAACATGGTGTTTTGAAAACGCTTTAAGAGAAAAACACAAACCGCGCGTTGCGTTTTTTTTTACAAAAACACAACAAGGAAAACATCATAGTATCCAAACGAAGCCTTAGTTTTTAATTTTAAAGTATTTCACAGCTTTACCACCAAAGAGGATCTAGTTAAGTTGATAAAGTGTCTGAGGAGCTTCCACAAGAATTGGATAAATTTTTATTTTCGATTACTTTTTGAAATTTATTTAGCATTTTCAATCTATTTTGCGCTTGTTTATTATTTTTGTGAACGGCAGTTTCACGTGGGCCACACCCACGTCCGCGTGAGAGGGTAAGTTTCCGCGTGCGTGAGAGGGTGAGTTTCCGCGTGAGGTGATAATGAAACAACTCCAAGCTACGGTTTTCTTTACCGGCCCACTAAGCTTCCTATAAATATTAGGGGTTGTTAGGGTTTTCGATGTGGGAAAAGCAGCGGGGAACAAATCAAAGGGAACAGCGGCTTAGACTGCGGGAAAGAAAAGCAGAGGTGGGTTTTCGGCTGCAAGGAGAAAAAAATCAGAGGGTTTTTTAGAGAAAAAAAAAGAGAGTTTTTCAGATCTAAAAAAGAGAGATTTTGAGGAAAGAAAAAGAGGGATTTACAAAAGAAAGGTTAATTTCTTTTGGGTAAAAATTAGATCTTTTTCTTTCAGACGAGCTTGTGGATTGTACAAGTCGTCGGTGTTCTTCTCATAGTGGAATCTCCTCTCACCCCTCCCGTGGATGTAGGCAAGTTTGCCGAACCACGTAAATCTCGTGTATTTACTGTTTTCTGGGTTGTTGGCTATTGCTTGTAGGATCCCTCAAAATTCGGTCTTAGAGCTGATGAGAGGAAGAGTGTATATTTCACTTTGATGAAATATATCACTTTCGATTCTTGTTTCCTTTGAGAAATAAGAATTTCATTATCTATTCTCGTTTCCTTTGAGAAACAAGAATATAGAGGTTGACTTGTGCTTTTGTGACAACAAAAGCAAGGGCTTTCTCTCAGGTGATATCGCTTCCGCGGCGGTGGGCGTGACTCCGTCCCAACAAAGATCATAATCACACACTAAACAATCAATGGTTGTAATTAATAAGTAAGGCTACCTCTCAACTATTTTTTTTGATAGTGTAAAAGATCGGAACCCATAACTATAAAACTAAATTTCATTTGCTTCTTGAAGAACACGTTGATTTCGCAGAAATTGCACAAAGCTTTGGCGGGAAAAGAGAAGAAGCACAAGGATATGTCTGATGAGGATTGGGAGGAGCTGGATCTGGAAGCACGGGCGTCGATTATCCTTTGCCTTGAAAGGGATGTAGCTTTCTTGGTAGATGGAGAGGAAACGACTGCGGGCGTGTGGTTGAAGTTAGAAACCACCTTCATGACAAAGAGTCTAACGAACCGGATCTATTTAAAATCTAAATTGTATACTTGCAAGATGGAGGAGGGCTCATCACTCCGGGAATACATCAACAAGTTCGATAGGATAATATCGGATTTGAAGGACATCGATGTGACTGTAGAAGACGAGGATCAGGCGCTTCTACTACTTCTATCTCTGCCGAAGTCTTATGAGAACCTGGTGCAAACACTGATGCTTGTGGGAGACAATTTGACGATGGATGAGACTAGAACGGCGCTTCTAGCGGATGACCTTCGGAAGATTGCAACCAGTGACATGACTACTGGTGGTAACAAAGAACAAGCCCAGGGATTGTTTGCTAGAGGAAGGAGCAATGAGCGAGGAAAAGGCAAGGGAGGAAAGTCTAGATCTAAATCGAGACCTCTTGCGGGAAGAGCGTGCTTCAAATGCGGTGAAGTAGGGCATTTCAAGGTTGACTGTCCTAACAAGAGAGTAGGTGGGAAGAAGAACAACAACAAGACTGAGAGGAGAGAAGGCAAGGAAGAAGCAAGCTATGTTTCATAGGAAGGGAGCGAGAAGGAATGCTATGTTGTCACGGGTGACGAGGATATCTCCGGGAAGTGGATTCTTGATTCTGGTTGCTCTTACCATATGTGTCCAAATAGGAAGTGGTTTACTACCTACAGGAGTATTGATGGTGGAACTGTATTGATGGGGAACAACCATGCTTGTAAAACGGTGGGGCTAGGTGATATCAAAATCAAGATGCATGATGGAGTGGTTCGAACCCTGACGAACGTGCGGCACGTTCCCGCCTTGCGGAAGAATCTTATCTCAGTGGGTGCATTGGACTCCGGTGGCTGCAAGATTGTTACAGAGAACGGAGTGAAGAAGGTTGTTCGAGGTTCCCTAACAGTGATAAAGGGTGTTCGTCACGGTAATCTATATACTCTCTCGGGTACGACGGTGACAGGAGATGCAGCGGTTGGAACTGAAGGAAGTGGTGGAGACCCATGTGAGCACACACGGTTATGGCATAGGCGGCTTGGGCACATGTCAGAGAAGGGTCTAGTTCTGCTTGGTAAGGAGGGTTTGCTGAAGAATCTGAAGAAACCTTGCATGGATTTTTGTGAGGATTGTGTGTATGGAAAGG